AGCTTAAAAAAAGTTTTAAATCTGGAGTCTTAAATTGAACTTGTTCAATTTACATGTCTAGTTACAATTATTTCGCAAATGAAACAACCCAAAAATGTTGATATGTCAACATAATTTTGCAGAACTGAGCGAAACGAAAGGTGGAACAAATCAGATTAAATATTCTATTCTGGATATGCACAAAAGCCAACAGTTGAAGAACTAAACAAAACAATTCACGATCCTACAACAGATAGCCGTTTGAGAATTCTGCGTTATGGTCCGCTTCTATAGTGCCCCCATTGTCCCTGTTTGAGATACATGCTACAAGGAAAAGAGACGCTACAGTAGAAGAATAGTAAATCCAAAATTGAGATCATATTTCATAGTCTTAACATTAATACTTTCATGTAGTATCAAATATTTAAACCCTGGGCATTTTAACATTTTGCATATTCGTCATCAAATCTGATCATACACGTACCCCCCCCCCCCCATCTGCAATCATGATAGAAATCTGACTTCCGGTCTCAAAACTGAAAAATAAAATTATCGATACCCTAACCAATTGACCAACCGACTGAACCACCCCCGGGGAACCACCTACCCATCGATTGACCAATCAAGCAAACTACAAAACATCCAAGCAACCAACTTTCAAAGGAAGCGACCAACTTTGCAATCACCAGTCAACAGAACGCAAGAAACTGACCAAGCAAAAACAAAGCAAGCAACCAAGCAAGTGTGCAACCATATAAGCAACAAACAAAGCGAGGAACCGAGCAAGCAGCTAATTAAGTAACTATACATGGAAATACACGTAAGAAAGCAAATGAACAACAAAAAAATCCAAGCTGAGGCTGATATGGACATCAACTGCACACATTTGATTAATTTAATGCAAATTCCAAGTTCAAAATGAAGCACAAAGGTTGACATTTGAGAACATAACTGATACCAAAAGGACGCGTGAAGACAAAGCTACACTTTCTAATTCTAGATGCTCTTACTGGGTAATACTTTTCAGGGTTACTTAAAGAGAGAATCAGATCTACCGAGCAAGCCAAAACGTTTCAATATGTCTGGCTTATATCACTCATTGCCATGTCTAAAAATCTCCAAAGTATCTTTATATGCAATACATAATATACCCTACAACCAAGCTCCGCATTCTAGCACTCCGCGGATAGTTGGTTGATTGACAATATTGACTTACACGATATGTAATGGCTAAACTGAAGTGATGATCAACTCCCCTATCCCCGGGCCCCTATCCCAGGTGCCCCAAATGTACTAGATCCATGGGCATTCGATAGATATTATTGAAAGTCCATGCTAGATCTTAAATACACATTTTTGGTAAATTAGATCCACTTGCTTCCCACATCAGATTTCTATTAATCACTCATTTCTTGAAACGGTCCTATTTCAATTCTTTCCGGCCTAGGGAAAACCTTTTAAGATGAATATATGTAACTGTTGATATTTTGCTCTTACACATATCAATTTTAAATTCAAGGTACAGAAAAACCAGTCGACGTTTTTTCGAAAAGGTAGAACTGTATATCCAAAACCCGGATCTAAAACAATATCTTATTGTTATTAATTTATTGTCCAGTTCTACCTTTGATATTAATGCCAAATTCTGTTGTTTGTTAGCAACATGATGAGGATTGATTTCTATATTGCCTAGGTCACATAGCCACCGGGCGCCGGCCGATGAGTAGTCATCGGCCGATTTCTAAATCGACCTGGCGCCGGTGACTTTTCACCGATGTCTTGATCTAATCGTGAGTATGGTCACATTAGTACAGGCATCGTACGGCGCCCGCGATCAATTGAATCTGAAAGACATCGCACGGGTATCGCAAGGCGATCTGCCGATGGCCGTACGGCACCCGCCAGGACATCGGTCGATCTACAGGCCTCTAGATTTATACTAAATTCTTGTATGACCCATTATGACTGTTCCATATGGCGTGAATGCAAGATTTGAAAACGAAATACTTCGATAGACAGGACTTCCAGGATAATAATGTTTTCATGCAATAAAAATCAGAAAAAGAAGATCCTCTTTTGAGTAAATAGGTTCAATATTTAGAAAAAAGCTGACATGGGGTCCCTATTCATAATTTTTCAAATTGTTTGATTGATATTTTTACTATCACGGGTACTTCAATTGAAAGAAAAAATATTGTTTTAATAAAAACACTGTATTTATGCCCAGAAAGTACTCATGGTGAAAGATATGACCGTCTTAAATCACTTGCCATACTACACGTGGTCTTTTCATCAAAGTGCACCCTGACCTTAATTCATTTTTAGATCTTTCATATAAACAAATACTATGTCTACTCCCTGTCCATCCGATGCTATTAGCAAAATCCCCTATTTCTGCATCTTTCTTTTGTCTGTTCTCGTAAAGAGAATTTGTTTGGTCATAAAAATATCTTCAAACAAATTGGCAATTTTTTCTTCTATTTCGAGTGGAGTAAGGGAACATGGGGCAAAACGGCCCCCTGGGGCAAAGTGGCCCATCGAAATATATTTTGAACTATAAAAAGATGGTTCTTCAAAAGTCACATAAATTGGAAAAAGACAATAACAATGCTAGTGAGCTGGTGGATGATGAAGATTTAGATGTGTCTAAGAAGAGGGTACTCCACTTGAAATAGAATTGAAATAGAATTTTGCAATTTCCGCAACCTTCTCCACCCCCCATTTTTAACCAAGCAGCGTCTCGCTTTACGTAAGAGGTAATTCTACTTTTCACTCTCTTTTTTGCAAATTACCCCTCCCACGAGTATCTCTAAAAAAATCCGGCAACAATAGAATATGGTTTTGGTTTAACATTTTACATATAGTATGCATATTTACTCTTTATTTGTAAAAAAATCGAGCTTCAAATATTAGGTAAATTAAAATGACGTCTATTTGAAAATTCACATGTCTTTGGGGCAAAACGGCCCACATATGTTATAACATACAAAAATCTTATTGTACAAGAACAATTGATTTTCAAACATAACGATTTTAACATTTAGTTTGTACCTTATTTCCTTCCGACACATATCGAATGACTAGAATTATGGTAGGGGTTAAGAATACTTCATCTGTCAAAGGTTTGAACGTCTGAGATAAGATGTGTGT